TTGTGCCATGCGTCTGTCTGGATGCTGTGCTTGTCCCCATGTTTTGGGTAAGAGGCCGAGAGAGGTAGAGGGTCTTATCCAAGCCCACACAGCTCATCGGGCCCGCAGCCTGTGGGGTGTTAGGTTAAAAAAAAAAACCCTCTAATTAGGTGCTGCCCTTTCGAAAGGAGATTCCAGCTGAAAATGCAAGACTTGCTGGCGGCCTGTGTGCCCTGAGCGCGGGGGTCGCAGGAGGAACACGGACAGAGTGATGACCGCTACAGCGGAGCGTGTTCTGGCCACAGAGTGTGTCGAGCTGGCGCGCGTCACGAAGGATGTGCAGATGAAGGTTTGACGGGAAACACCGGAACAAGGAGGCTTTTCTCCCGAAAACTCCTCGGTGTTTCCTTCCCGATCTGCGGCCCAGGCCAGGGGTGAGGCCTCCGTGGGGAGGTCCGTTAGCCTTGCTGGAGCCCCGTGGAGGGCGACCGAGAGGAGGGAGGGTTTTGAGTGAGTGGCCGGACAGGGATGTCCCCCTGCGGCCCGACCTGTGGACACCAGGACCCTCCTGGGCACGCGGTTCTGATTGTGAAGGGAAGAGGTCAGGTCCTTGGAGCAAAGGGCCTGGGGTCTGGGAGGAAGGATAGCCGGGTGGCTCCCTGTCCTGGCAGCTGGCGGGGGGGGGACCGCAGGAGCAGAGAAAGACACTGACCGAGATGGTGTGGGGCGATGGTGTTCTCTGGCCCAAGCGTGCAGCCTCGGGGAAAACCTCAGAGGCGGCCCAGTGAAGGGGCTTCTGCAGACACCTGGCCGTCCTGGCCCCCGTGTGGTGGGAGGCAGTTCCCTGCCTCTCAGAGGCCCTCAGGGTGGGGCGTGGAGGGTGAGGGCGAGCTGGGGGCGGGGGGCTGGGAGAGGCCAAAGCCCTGTGAGGTGCCCAAGATGGTTGGATCGTCTGAAAAAAAATTATTTTTTTTACATGAGCAAAATCTGCGTTTTTAGGGGAAATCTCATTTTGAATGTTTTCTTAATGTTTATTTTTGAGATAGAGAAGGAGGCAGCATGAGTGGGGGAGGGGCAGAGAGAGAGAGGGAGACACAGGACCCGCAGGCTCTAGGCTCTCAGCTGTCAGCACAGAGCCCGACGCGGGGCTCGAACCCACGAACCATGAGATCATGACCTGAGCCGAAGTCGGGCACTTAACCGACTGAGCCACCAGGGCGCCCATGAAATCTCATCATGAAATGGCAGCAGCTAATTTAAAAAACTCCAAGCCGCCCTCTAGGCCATAAAACAGGCCTGGTCTCTAGGATGAGGCCAGTGGCTCTTTAAAAAGTATATAAATTGTGGTAAAATATGCATATCAGAGCATCGATGGTTGTAGCCATTTGTAAGCATCTAATTCGGTGGCATTAAATACATGCAGTGTATTTTGTAATATCCCCACTGTCACCACTACCAATGTTCCAAACATTCTGGAATTTTGAAACAGGAGCTCAGTACCCATTGAACAGTAACTGCCCCCAGCCTTCCCCACCGCCCCTGCACCCAAGCCTCTGGGCGCCTGCCTTCCGCTCTCTGTCTCTCTGAATCTGCCTATTCGGTGTACCTGGTGCAAATGCAATTGTATAATATTTGCCCTTCTGTGCTGGGCTTGTTTACTTGGCGTTCTGAGTTCAGGGTCTGTCCGCGTGGCAGTGCGTACCAGAACCTGCATCCTTTCCGAGGCCGGATGCTGTCTCACGGGACATATATGCCATATTCCGCTGATCCGTGCGTCTGGCGCAGGACCTCTGCCTTCTCGGAAGCGGCATTCTGCCCCAGCACGTAGTTAGACAGCCACTGTAATTTCCTGCAGCCACTTAATTCCAGCCGCGCCGACCAGTGGCTGAGCATGCAGGTGTGCAGTGGGGAAGGCGAGGCCTCGAGGTCATCCCGGGGAAGGAATGGGGGAGGCAGAGGCACGCTTGCTCGGTGAGGGAGGGGGTGAGGGGTGCCATGGTAGCCGTGGCGTGGCTCTCCTGGGTGGGACTGCCACTGAGTCTGGAAAGACGGGTCCCCAGGAATGTCTGCCCAGTGCCCGTCATTCGCCTAGTGGAGAAGCCGCACAGGCACAGGGATCTGAGACCATGTCACACCGCGGGGCCAGGAGCCCTGGTTGTCAGGCGCAGCCGCACAGGCTCCGGTCTGGCTTCCCTGACCGATAGCTGTGCTTCCTTGGGCCGCTGCTTTTGCCTCTCTGTGCCCGAGCGCCCTCACCTATCAAGTGGGGGGTGATGATCAGACCTGCGGCGCAGGGCTGCTGTGGGCATTAGGCCAGTCCATACCTGCCAGGTGCTTTGAGCGGCGCTTTGCATGTAGACAGTGCTCGTAAGCAGCAGCTGTCATTCCTGCTGGGGACGGGGTGGTCAAGACGGTGCCTGGAGAGTCCAAGAAACAGCTGGTGCAGGGCCTTCGAGGCCGGGCTGGGCTTGCTTAGGTGGTATCTGGAGGCATAGGGGGAACAGCGCAGGGCAGGGTTTGAGAAGATGGGCCTGAATGTTTTTTAAAAAATGTTTCTTTGTTTATTTTTGAAAGAGAGGGAGAGAGAATTCCAAGCAGGCTCCATGCTGTCAGCTCAGAGCCCCAAGTGGGGCTCGATCTTACAAACTGTGAGGTCATGACCTGATCTGAAATCAAGAGTCGGGCGCTTAACTGAGCCACCCGGGCCCAGCCGAGAATGCACCTTTGACCAGGACCATGCCTCATTTATAAGCACCCCTGAGAGGGACCTAAGTCTCTGGTGGGTGATCTCTGACCTGTCGCTGATAAAGGGATGAGAATTTTTCTGTCTCATTCTGTCCAGGGCTTTTCACACGGAAGGTGCCCTGTCTTGATGACCTGACTTCAAATTCCTTGATGTCTGACTATCTTTTCTTGCTTTCTTTGCGCAGTGGCTGCTGGTAGCTGCCGACTCCTTGGCACGCTCAGAAGTGACATATTTGCAGGCACTGCGACGTCTCTGGTGATGGGGAGACAGCGGTGGCTCTAACTTGGTCCCTCCCATCATGGTGGCAGTTGGTTCATTGACTGCCTTTTCCTGTTCCCTTTTGATATAAACCCAGGTCTCCCTTAATCATTTCAGGAGTTGCATCTAACAGAACTGTAAGGGCTTAAAGGTTACAGAAGCCCCCAGCTAGCTCGTTGCCTGTATGTTGTTAAGATCATCTAAGTTGCAGGGCACCTGGGGGCTCAGTCCGTTAAGCATCCGACTCTGGCTCAGGTCATGATCTCACAGTCTGTGGGTTCGAGCCCCGCATCAGGCTCTGTGCTGACAGCCCTGAGCCTGGAGCCTGCTTCAGAGTCTGTGTCTCCCTCTCTCTGTCCCTCCCCTGCTTGTGCTCTGTCTCTCAAAAATAAATGTTAAAAAATTAAAAAAAAAAGATCACCTGCATTGCATCAGCGTGGGTAGCAATCACAGGACCTTATTAATTACTATTTTGGGAAATATGTTCCATACCAGGAAGTTCAAATAATGCTTAGGAACCACATTTCTTTGGGCAAACCTTAAGAGACAAGACATGGATTTGAATCTAACCTATCACAGAAGGTGTTAATAGTTGTGTTTAAAACAGGGGAGAGGGCTTCTGTGGCCAGATGTTGGGATATGGTACTTACTGCAGCCCACCTTGGAGAGTTACACTGCACATGAGCAGATTAAAAGCTCTGAGAAGTCCTGCAGCAGAGAAACCTATTTGACATTGATTCAGCATTTTCCAAATGCTTATTAGCTTTAGAATTTGTTTCTCGTCCTCACAAACCCATTTACCATCCTTCAGAGCCAGCGTTCCACAAAACACCCTGGAAACACTTGTGGAAATGATTTGTTTCAGCCGAAAACTGCCCAATGGCCCATGTAGGTGGTCAGAAAAAGAAATCCGTTATTTGCAAATGCAGAGTTTTGTTTGGCCCAAGTTGTTGGTCCCAAACTGGGGAGCTAGTGTTCTTCTCCAGGGAAGGAGAGCTCGCTCCTGAGCAAAACCTCTCATCAATTATGGTAATGAGTCATGTTGAAATGCAGGCTGTTGACTGAAAAGTCAGAGGGGGGAGGGCTCCTGTCCACCCGGTCCAAGGATTCTCAAGCCAGGACATTGTTTGAGAGAGAACATGCAAGCCACCTGTGTTCTCAGACGATCAAGAAGGCATGTCTGGGGCAGCCAGTGTCTGTAATGGGGCTCCTGTGACAGTCTTGGCTCACACAGGACGTTTTGGAAATGATCTTTGGTTGAACAAAGCTTGGAGTAAAGTATAACATAGAACAATACTACCTTTTTTTTTTTTTTTTTAAAGAAAGATACATTGAAACACTGGAAAGGAACGGCAGTGGGATGATGGGCAATTTCCATTATTTTCCTTGTTTTCTACTGGTGCCCAGTTTTCTGTCCACATGCATTCCATTTGGAAAAAGAAATAGACATACATGTAAATAAAAGACATTTATGTTCAAATAGACAGACATGATACAAAAACACATGTACCTTGCTGAAACGATATAACATGTTAAATCAAGACAAATATAAGGTGATGAGTTGTGGTCTTAAATCTTTGGTTTCTGAATGAAATCTGGGCATGTGTAGCAACGTGGATGGGACTCGAGGGTGTTATGCTGAGTGAAATAAGTCAGGCAGAGAAGGACAGATACCATATTTTTTCACTCATATGTGGATCAGGAGAAACTTAACAGAGGACCATGAGGGAGAAGAAGGAGAAAAAAATCATTGGGGAGAGGGAGGGAGGCAAACCATAAGAGACTCTTAAATACTGAGAACAAACTGAGGGCTGATGGGGGTGGGGGGGAGGGGAAAGTGGGTGATGGGCACGGAGGAGGGCACTTGTGGGGATGAGCACTGGGTGTTATATGGAAATCGACTTGACAATAAACTATATTAAAAAAAAAATAAAAGGCACTTGTTATTTATAGAACGTCAAAAACACTTTGGTTTCTAATAGCTCCTTCAAAGTGTGTCTTTTTACAATTTTTCCAGATGGGCAGCAGATTTGGGAGATGGGAGCCACGGTGGATAAAGACAAGAGCCAGCCTGTAAGCACACGGTCACGGTGCCCGAGTGCCCTTTCATGCTCCCCTCCCCCCTCCCTCTGCTCTTTCTTTCCTTTTTCCCTCCTTCACCAATGCCCCAGAGCTTTGGACCTAACAGGCGCTCGGTAGGTATTGAGTTGACAAATAAATCAAACAATTTATTGAGCACCAGACCCTCTGATGTGTAACTGTGACATCATAATATACTTTGATAGACTCAGTGGCAACCTTTCTTTGCTGCGGCGAGAAAGTCAAGTTCCCCTTAAGTAGTATTTTACCTGTGTCTTGACTCCTTTAAGATGGTCTGGCTTGGTGTGCTTGAGTCCTTGTGTAGGAATTTAGACACTGTTGTAGCTAAGTTAACGGTAGCTCCTTCCTTCCAGAACATGCTTTTTGTTGAGATCCCTGAATATCGAAACAAGCACATCCGCACATCGGTGAAGGTCAACTTCTACGTCATCAATGGGAAAAGAAAACGGAGTCAGCCTCAGCACTTTACCTACCACCCAGGTAAGGAATCTTCTCTGAAGGCCCCTTGGTGTTGAAAGGCAGCACACACATGCAGTGAGGACACGGGGAGGTCTGCTTTCAGCTGGTTGACCTTGGGCCGGTGGCTCAATCTCTCTGAGCCTCCATTTCCTCATCTGTCAAATGGGACTTTCCTTACAAGAGTCACAGAAATCAAGTGCACGTAAAGTGCTTAGCACAGTGCGCAGCAAGTGAGCTGATAGGAATGATTTCAACAGATAATTATTGTTCATGTGCTTCTTCGGGAGGGCAGAGTAGTGGAGAGGCGCTTGTCGCCTGCAAATGACATCTTAGAGTGGATCATGATTGGGTAAGCGGATGTGACTGGAAACCTGCAGAATCGTGGCAGTGGGTGGTCACCCGTGGCCACGTGGAATTCCTGGGTCGACAGCCGCGCAGGGTGTCTCGGCCCCACAAAGCGCTACCGCCAGAAGAAGAGTGAGAAGGGCTGTTCGCGTTCATTCAGAAAATAGCTGAGTGCCCCGTGCTCTTCTTGGCTTGAAGACACAGTCGTGAACCAAACGTAAAAATTCCTACCCTCGTTGGAGCTCATGTTCAAACGGGGGATTCGGAGAAAAGGTAATATTGACCAAAGGAGATTCAGAGAGTGGGTCATGTCGACCATATAATCGACACGGCCGATTCTAACCAGGGCCGCAGAAAGGGCCAGCAAGCTTCCCAAGGCTGCCCTAGGCCTATTAGCCACCTTTCCGAGTTGGGGAGCCTGTGATCTGAGACTGTCACCCAGGGTACGGTTTCCACCCCGCGGCAGGTGTCACGCGGAGCCTCCGCGCTACTGGAGGCATCAGACCCAGGGGGCTGTCCTCGCAGCCCGGGCTTGGTGGCGCTTGGCTTTGGTGGAGCGTGTCCAGAGGTGTCCGTGGCCCCTCTGGCCGTCGCACCACCCAGGACTGCCGTGCCGTCAGTGGCAGTGGCCCGCGGGGGAGCGTGGGGGGAGGCTCTCCGGGGAGGTGCTGGATTGTAGCTCAGTGATCCCTTTTAGCGGAGAGGTTTTCCCGTGTGTCTGTGGCCTTCCGGCCTCGTGCGGTGTGGCCAGGAGGCCTTCCTGGGCCCGGCACAGGCACCCGCCTGTCCGAGAGGTCCGTCCCCCGGTGTCAGCCAGGGCCTGAAGGGCACCCTGGGAAACGACTCCCGGTTGGTGCGAGCGCTGCCCTTCGCTCTGGCTCCCGAACCGCGTGCGGCCCTGGTCCCTGGCACCTGGCGGGTCCCCCCACTCGATTCCAGTCCTGTCACTGTCTCTTTCCATCCAGGGAGGAAGCTCGGTCCTCGACTCCTGGGGCTGGAAATGCTTTAGTAAAGGGCTCTGGGGAAGCACAGGTTCCCGTGACCCTGCCCCAGGGAGGGGGAGGGGGAGAGGGATCGTAATTGCCGCAACACCAATGGTGGTGAGATAATAGCAACAACAGCAAGCATTGAGCACTTACTGTATACCAGCCGCTGTGCTAAGTACTTTCCACGCATCTCGTTGAATCTTCCCCACAACCTCACGGGGATAGGTACGCTTGTTACTGTAACGGATGGGGAAACTGAGGCTCTGGCCAGCAGGTTTCCTTTCCCCCCGAATGCTACAGAACTGAGGGGATGAACCACCCCACCGTTCGGTCATTCCTGTTTCTAGAAAATATCTGAGTGTCAGTGGAGTGCAAGGCATTGTTTTAGGGGCTAGGGGCACAGCCCTGAACAAAGGAGACCACAAAAAAGTCCTCTGTTTGGGGAGCTGACAGCCTGAAGTGGGGGGGTGGTTCAGATAATGAGTGAGTGCATGAAATATACAGAGTGTGTCAGGTGGTAAACATTTCCAGGGGCAACAAGCAGGGAAGGGAGGGGTGAGCTTCTGGAGAGCGTGGAGGAGGGGTGGGATGTTCAGCCTTCCTCTCCGAACTCTCCCCTGGGGTAAAGCCCGTAGCCATCCCAGGGCTGAGGCCCACCAACCTTGGAAAGGCCTTTCCACTCTTGGAAAGGCCTACGGCTCGCGACCGTCGAGCAGGGCAGGATCTCTGACTTAAGACAATTACACAGGGAGGCTCTTGTCCAAGGGTAATAAATGACGGAGCCCAAGGGTCTGCCCCTGCCTCCTTGGACTCCCAAGGCGGTGCTCCCAGCCAAAGCCCGTTGAGCCTCGCTGCACCCCCGTGGCTAAGAAGGGTGCGCCCCGTGTGCTTCTCTCCTCTAGTCCCGGCCATTAAGACGGAGCCCACCGATGAGTATGACCCCACCTTGATCTGCAGCCCCGCCCACGGGGCCCTGGGGAGCCAGCCTTACTACCCGCAGCACCCGATGGTGGCTGAGTCCCCCTCCTGTCTCGTGGCCACCATGGCTCCCTGCCAGCAGTTTCGCTCGGGGCTCTCGCCCCCCGACGCCCGCTACCAGCAGCAGAACCCCGCGGCCGTCCTGTACCAGCGGAGCAAGAGCCTGAGCCCCAGCCTGCTGGGCTACCAGCAGCCGGCCCTCATGGCCGCGCCCCTGTCCCTGGCGGACGCCCACCGCTCCGTGCTGGTGCACGCCGGCTCCCAGGGCCAGAGCTCGCCCCTGCTCCACTCCTCTGCGGCCACCCAGCAGGCCTCGCCGGTGATCCACTACTCGCCCACCAGCCAGCAGCTGCGCTGTGGCGGCCCACAGGAATTCCAGCACATCATGTACTGCGAGAATTTTGTGCCCGGCGCCGCCAGGCCCGGCCCGCCCCCCACCAGTCAGGGTCAGAGGCTGAGCCCAGGGTCCTACCCCACGGTCATTCAGCAGCAGAATGCCACCAGCCAGAGAGCCGCCAAAAACGGACCCCCGGTCAGTGACCAAAAGGAAGTATTACCCACAGGAGTGACGATTAAGCAGGAGCAGAATTTGGACCAGACCTACTTGGATGACGGTAAGATGCTTGTTTTCCTCGTTGTCCATAAGGACGGGCCCCCAGAGCACCCCTGACCCCTGCAAGTTCACTGTGTGGTCCGGGTGTCTTCCTTCACCCCCTTGGGCCTCTGTGGCCCCCTCTTTCATTTAAGGGGGTTGGATAATAAGATCACCTTTAAGGCCTCACTCGACTCTGTGCAGGAATCCTTTCCCAGCAGGACTTCTGGTGGGGGGGGGGGGCTGCTTAGAGTTCTAGATGTTTCCCTACAACTACCGCAACAGAAAGAGCAAACGAGGGCAATTCTGGCCGAAGGAGCGTCCCCTGGGTCATGAACTGGGGCACTTTGACCGCTTCCACTCTCCATCGCCAAGTTTAGACCAAGAATAGACAAACAGAAAGGAAGGAAGGCTAACCTTTTATTCCCGTGGAGGAAAAAAGGTCCTGCTTTATAGCCCTCTTTTGTGTATTTGGGGGAGGGGAGCGGAGAAAGGGAAGGAGCAGGCTCGCTGAAGAGTGGAGCATGAATGGGGGGCTTGCGGGCAGGCTCTGGGCAGAGCTGAGCCATGTGCCGGGGAAACAGAGACGCGCATTGACAGGAGGGAAACAGTGGGCTTCCGTTGTGGTGAGCGGGCTGCTGGGGTGGTTGGGCCAGAGGAAAAGGCGCAGAGAGACTTTGTGGGAGTCTGTAGGTGCCCGAGTGTGTGGGGGGCATAGTCTTGACAGAGGAGTGGCGGGGTGCACACGACGGTGGTCTGTGATCTCCGGGAGGAGGGGCTGGTTGTGTGGCATCAGCCAGGTGCCACTGAAAGCCTGAGGGGGCGGGGCTGTGGGCGGGGCCTCCCCAGGGGCGGGGCCAGGGGAAGCAAACAGGTGGTGTGAGTTTCTTAGTGGAAAGAAAACCTAGACCCCTGGCCGCCACCCACGGTACCAGCCGCCCATTTTACAGGCAGTAGATCTACCCCGAAACCTCAATTATGTAGGAAAACTCACTCAGGAGCCCAGCCAAGCGGTAGGAAATACGGCAGAAAGCTTCAACATGCCCCCAACAGTTATCATAAAAATCAGCTACTGTATCAGCCCCTTCTCTGGCAGGAATTCTCAGGTGTGTACTCAGAGACTGCTGCCTTTTACTTCATGCAGAGTTTTGACGATCTGGGAGATCTGGTTCTGGGACTTCTCATAGTTTCTGCATCGTCTCTCTAGTAAAACTGTTGATCCAAAACTTCCCCCAAACACCTCAAGCAAAGATTTCCAGGGCCACTCAGTGTAAGGCCAGACCGCCCCACGTGCCTGGCAAGGCTGACCTCAGGCTATTGCTATGTTAATAATTGATCTGTCTAATCCTGAATAATCAAACACAGGTTGAGTTAGAGTCACTGTGCTCGGGTTTTAAAAGGGAGACCCGTGTGCTATCTATCCTGGAACAGTTCACACCCCAAATGGTTAAGATAAAATTCGGGTGCTTATTTGAAAGGGGTGTATCACGTAGACAGTCCAGTTCGTGCAGAGTGCCTAACGCTAGGGGACAACTGAAAGCTGTAACCAGACCTCTCTCCATGCATGGGCTTGGGGCATGTGTCAGGGACGAGGCACTTTATAAATAAATGATGCCTGGGCGGGCGCAGGTGACTTTCCCCAGCTGACACCGGGTCTGGTGTTGGCTTAGTCTCCCAGAGCTAGGAATGTGCCGGCCCCTCCCACCTGTCCATCACCTCGCGTTCAGGACAGACCGTGAAAGATCTCTGTTAGAGATGGCAAGTTCAGTTCGTGGCCTGGCTCTCGGGAAATCTATCAGTATCCAGGTGGTCGTGATTCACCTTTGAGGGTCCATCGTGACCTCAGACCTATACAGATGCTTCCTGCTTTCACAGAAGCCCGTGTTACAGACAAAACAACTGAGAACAGAGACTCTTTAGGGCCCTCTAAGTGCCTTTCTGAACACAAGTGGGTTCAAAGTCATGGTGAAAGTGAGCTCTTGGTGGTTCAGTAACATGAGTCAGCTCTAAGGGTATCTCGGAGAGCTGAGTGACGTGAAATTGCTTTTCCGGATGGAGCCTTTTCTTAAGTACTTTATGCATGAGCCCAGTCCCATAGGATTTTAGCAGATAGTCTCTGAAATGAGGGTTCTGAGGCTTAAAAAGTTGGAAAAAAAAATCTGTCAAACCAGGTTGTTATTTCTTTAAAGCTTGTTTATTATAGGACTTCTCAGAGCCTTTACTGCACTAGTGGACACTATACATTTCTAAGGTGAGGAATATAGTACTTCCCAGAATTACACATAAGAGAGTGCAGCCCCAGGGGATGCTGTTCCTATTGCATTTTATCATACTCTCTGTGACTGGAATGTCTGGAGTTGTGCAGCATGGCGGGGCTGGAGCTCCCGTACCCCAGCATTCTGGGGAAATAACATGAAGGAGTTTCAGAGTTCAGAAGCCCAGCACTGCCCCATTCTGTATGCCTGTGTTCACACTTCTGAATTCTTTGGCTTGGCGTGGGGATCAGAGCGTGACGGGCAAGAGAATAATTGCGACCTGGGCGGCTCCCAAGAGGCAGCAAGGTGGCTGCTCTGAGATGTTCAGTGCGTGACCGGCATCGTCCCAATGGCTCCGCGGAGCCCACGGCCCTCCAGGGTGAAAGCACCCGTGTGGCCAGGTGTGCCTGGTGTCAGCTCCCAGCAGGAGCCGCGTGCCCTTTGGTCTCCTCACTAGCTGAGATCCAGACCCCTCCTGCAGATCATTCCGGAGTCCACTGCTGGCCTTGGGGATGTGGGATTCAGACTTCTCCGTTGGTTTTGCGTTGACTCCTGACAGGTAAATTGAAATCCCTGCGTCATTTCTTTAGTCTGGTTGGGAGACGTCCTAGGTTTGGAAGCTCCCTTTCTGTCCTCATCGCCAGTGACTCGAAGGGTACCTTCCCCCCCAAATACACACCTGACTGCAGAAGCCGGAGCGGCGTGAGCGCCAGTATTTCCCACGTGCCTCGCATCTGCCTCGGGACTTTGGCAGAGACGCTTTCCTTGGAAACCTGGTGAGAGCTGGGGTTCGGTGCTTTGAGGGTCAAGGGGGGCCGGGCCGTCTTCCAGTTAGAAAAGGAAGGGGTCACCCGCGGACTTGGGTCCACAGGCAAACAGATCATCTTTGAGGCTGACCGCGCCCCTTGACCGTGCTCCCCGGCAGCCCCGCGTGTGGTTATCTTTGCCTGACCCTTCGTGAATGATGCAGAGTAGCTCATCTGGGCGTCTCACCTGGCTCCCTGGCGTTGCTGCTTTTCATCCCTCCCTCTCGCACTGCACTCCTGCACACAGACAGATCCTTTATAATGTACCTGGAATTGTGAAAACGTGAGTTGTTCACAAGGAGCTCTGTCCTGCCGTCGGCTGGAATGCAGGGAGGGCGGCTGCGCCTCGCTCGCCCGGGGCGCCTCGCTCCAGCAGGCGGGGGGAGGGTTTGTGCCGCGCGGGCCCAGGCGAGGAGAGAGGCACAGACAGGGCTCCTGCCCTGTGCCGCCCATGACACAGTCCCCGCAGAACCTGGGGGCTCCCAGGTGGTCGGGCCATCTCACCGCAGGTTCCAGGGTGGGGAGCCTGCACCGTCAGCCTCGAGATTCAGCCACAGACGAGAGGACTGAGGGGCAGGGAGAGGCCCGGGACTCCAAGGAGACCCCTGATCCCATTCTGGAAAGGTCTTGGGGAGAAAAGACGCGGTGTCTGTGACACTGGAGCCTCTGCCGGTGGCCTGAGGGCCCGGCCGGTGGTGTGCGTTCACGTCTGTGTAGTCTGTTTCTGAATCTCCTTCTCTGTTCCTCACGTGAACTGCTTTAAAAGAATCACGTGTTGAAATCCCTTGAATGGATTGGAGCATCTGTCTGCGTGTTTAACAGTTGAGATGGAGGCAGGTGCAGGGGTCAGTTAGGTCCTTCGAATTTCACCAGCTGGGCCACCCATGTGATCACCACCCGGACAGTGCATGGCGTGGGATCATGTTAGCGTCCCAGAGCGCCCTGCGCCGCCCCCCCCCCATGTCCCCTCCACCTCCTGTGTCCTACCCAGCCCCGAATCCCAGAGATTTGTTTTGCCTTTTCATATACAGAGAGGTCCTGCGGTGCTGCCCTTTGGTGTCTGGCTTTTGTCCATCGGCCGCAGGCCAGTGAGATCCAGAGATCCCGTTGGGGGTAGTGGGGCACACCCGTTGCCTCGCTGGGGATTATCCCGTTGAGGGAATACCCCGTAGTCCCGGCACCGTGTTTCTGTTGATGGACATTTAGGTGGGTTCCAGCCTTAGGACTAAAACTTCTGTGGATGCTTTTGATTCTTCTTTGGGCGCCCGCACGTGAGGTCAGGAGTGCCGCCCACGCCAGACACCTCTCCTAAGCGCTTGCGCCAGTGTACGTGCCCACAGAGGGCCGCGGGTGTCGCACGCGGTGTTCAAGTGTAGTCTGTCTTCTGTCTCCTGGGATCCGCGTGTAGCGGGTGAGCCTGGTTACGGGGCATCAGGGCTGCAGACCCGGGCACAGCAGGTTGGCTGGGGAGCAGCTCCCAAACCTTTTGGACCTGTTCTCTCACTCGCGAAAACAGTACCTCTCGTTCGGACACCCGGACTCCCAGAGATGCGTCCAGGTCTGAACTTGGAGTTGCCTGCCGAGGTCGGAAGACTCTTGAAGGGCGCACCACTGCCGGCCGGCGCTCCACAGCTCTAATCTGATCATGCTAGCTCTGCTGCCCTTCGCGTTTCTTGTGCCTTCTCCGGGCTTACCTGTATTTTGGCCACTTGGGCCTTTTTTTGTTTGTTTGACAAGCATAGTTATGTGAAAAAGCAAGCAGGAAAAGCAGGAGAGAAAGCACTGATCTGTGGTTTCAGGCAGCAAAGAAATAGTGTAGATGTTCTGTCCACCCCAGGGCCCGACCGGTCCCAACTTTCACTTCCCCAACTGGCGGCTCCCTCCCCGCCCAGGGAAAGACATCCGGTGGGGGTGGGGTTGCTGGGCAGCTCGGTTGGTTGGGCCTCTGACTTTGGCTCTGG